TCTTTCTCTAAAGAGCACTGTCTTCAGTACAGGTAGACACATATGAAAACAACTTAAATTCTGGCACAATTAGAGAGTGTCTCAGAATAAAGAAAGACTATAGACTATATAGACAACACTAGATTAAAAATCCCAGGTCTAAGACTTAGTCATTGTGTGATTGTACCTTGAGCATCTTTAATGTCTAATCTATAAGCTGTGATGATAATACCCATTTCTAGGGGATGTTATAAAGATTAAATGAGAAAATGCATAGTGCCTGGCTTATAATAGGTACACATGGAGATCAGAATAGCAACTTCTTCCTATAACGGGACTTCTCAATTTTAATGTGCATCAGATTGCCTGCAAACCTTGTTAAAAATGTAGATTCTGGTTCAATAGGCCTGGGGTGGGGCTTGGCATCTGCATTTCTGACATGTCCCCAAGTGGTATACATGCTGCTTCTCAGAGAATTGAAGTTTCTGTAGCAAGGATTTAGTGGTTATTTTGGTTTTGTTTTTATTTTTAAGTAGTTGACGCTGGAAGTGAATCTTAAAAGATAAGTAGGCCATACAGGAAGTCAACAGCCACTGGGGAAAAGGGCATTCTAAGAGGAGGAATAGAAGAAGTAAGGGGCTTGCCAGTAGCATAAAACCCAAGGGAGTCTAAAGGGGCCTGGAGGAGAAAAGAGAGAGGTGGCTTGTATGGAACAAGAAAGTATCAAGACATGGAGTCTCCTATGCCTTGTCAAGGAGTTATTTATCTTGTAGGTAACGAAGGATTCACAGAAGGATTTTAAGAAGATGTGAATGAGAGGCACTTGGTTGACTCAGTTGGTTAGGCATCCAGCTTCGGCTCAGGTCATGATCTTGCAGTTCATGAGTTCAAGCCCCACATTAGGCCTTGTGCTGACAACTCAGAGCCTGGAGCCTGCTGCAGATTCTGTATTTCCCTCTCTCTCTGCCCCTCATCTCTCTCTCTCTCTCTCTCTCTCTCTCTCTCTCTCTTTTTCTCTCAAAAACAAAAAACATAAATATATGTTAAAATTTTTACAAAGAAGAAGATGTGAATGATTTGATGAACTGTGAGGTTTAGATTACCCTGGAAGCAATTGGAGGATAGGTTGCATAGGAGAATAATGGAAGTCAGGAGGATATTATGGTATACTGGATGAGATATGAACCAATGCAGTAATGGTAGTACAGATTGAGAGGAAGTGGAGACTATGGGAGACATCAGGATATGGAATTGGTAAAACTTGGGCATTTATTAGGATGGAAAGAGAACATGAAGTTTAAGATTCCTGCCAGCTTTTTATTTAGGTGACTGAATAGGTCATAATATTACTTTCTAAGTAATTCAGGAGGAAGAGTAGAGTTTTAGGGAAAGAAAATGAGTTGAGTTTGGGAAATGTCGAATTTGTGTGACATCTCACAAGCAAGTATCTATTAACAAAGTTGGAGTTATAGGAGAATGGTGTGGGAACTGTTGGCTTATATTATGGTATATGGAGTCATGGACATAGGTTCTGACATTTAAGGAAAATGATAGAGAGCAAGAAAAGACAAGATTTTTATTCAGATCAACATGAGGGATGACAGAGAAAGAGAAACCCATAAAAAGAAACTGAGAGCAAATGATTAGGAATAGAAAAGCAAAATCAGGATGAATAATTTCAGAAAAGCCTAGGGATAGGAGTGTTTCTAGAAGAAACTGATCAGCTATATCAAATACAGTTAGAGGTCAAATACATAAGAACCGAAAATTAGGAATTGGTGATATTTGCTAGAGCAGTATCAGTGGAATAAAGTGCAGAAGAAAGTCAGATTATGGAGGGTAAAAAATGAATGGAAGATGAGGAATCAGAGATAGTAATATAAAATATTCTTTCTAGCGCTTACCTACAACAGGAAAATATTAATAACTAGTAGCCAAAAATAGTCCCAAGGTTGAGTGTTTCATTTAACTGATTAATTCATTGATTGATTGATTGATTGGTTATCTTGAGCATACCTATGGCTGCTGAGAAGTTGTGAATAAATAGGAAATCTTTAAAAATAGAAGGTAAAGAGAATTACTACCAGAACAATGCCATCTGAGACTGGAAGAAATAATGTGGAGCTGGGCACTTGCACAGATGGGTCACTAGATGTGGGGATGGATATCACATGCTTGGTAGCCCAAATTTTTTCTGTAACAAGGGAGGCAGAATCATTGGCTGAGTGCCAAAGGGCAATTGTGGCTAGGGACTAAATTGTGTAGTGAAGCCTGTCCTCAGATTTGGGTGGTTTTCTTCAGTGGAACTTGAGCCTCTGCTTGCATTTTCTTTGACATTGCCCATGAACCTTGTTGTTGCTATTCAAAAAAAAATAAAAGAGCATATGTTTCATAAATAGAGTATCCCTCTGCTATACTGATCTCTGGAATTTCAAATAGCAAGCTGGCCTTCTTCCCTCTGCACTCCATTCATCTGGTTTTCCAGTCGACAAGAGGAGATAGAGATAGAAAGATGGATTGTGTGTGTGCATGTACATATGTTGTACTTTTAGAGGTGATGACATACACAAGACTATCAAAGAAGTCTTCCAAGGTTGCAGAATGAAAAATTTGAAAACTGCTACTTTTATTCATATAGAAATCTACTGATTACATACCTTTGAACTCTTTAATGCACATAGCTTTACATGCCAAAATTCTTCTGTTCAATATATCTAGACTAACATGCGTCTTCATCTTCCAACTCCAATTCTCAGCTTAAAATTCATTCAACAATGAACTAACTTAAAATAGCAGGCTTTTTGTGCCTTGTGGACTATCAGAGCAACAGGTACTGGCTTTGGTTTTAGGATTCAATCTTTAAGACATTCTGCTAAGTCCTGAAGGTCACATGCAAGTAGAAAGGCAAACCAACCAGCTCAAAAATCCTTGCTTTCTTGGAGCTGGGAGACCAGGAAAGATGGGTAATCAAAATACAGTTTAAGATATAAAAGTTTTATTTAGAATTACATCAACTAGTAGAAAATATTATTCAAATAGTTTTGAATGAATGAAAAACTCTGTAATGACTAATCTCACCTTGACCACTTCAACATGTACTTTTTAGTTAATTCAATTATCCCCTCTGATAGTCTTAATGTTTTCCCATTTTTTTTTGCCAAAACACTTCTTAAATACTAAACAGTACAGTTTTAAAATATATACAGGCATCTAATTCCTTAGGTATCTTGAGAATTTGCCTGAACTGCACACTATGAAGCTGATCCACGACCTAGGAATGAGGTAAAGGAGCCAGGTACTCTAGTAAACAGCTTAGAAGGTGGCTGTGCATTGTTTTTGCCTCCAGGTCAAACTCTGTGACTTTTCTGACTCCCTGAAAAATATTAAACCTAAACATTTTGAAGCACAGTTAGGAATGTATTCAGGAGAATGCCAAAAGACATAGACACAATATTATGCAAAGACTGTTTAGAAGAACAAAAAATATTTAATCTAGAACTTGAGGAAACCTGAGAGTTGTCTGTATTAGTATACTTTCATATACAAGTGAGAGACAATCAACTCAAAATTATTTAAAGGGAAAAAGCAGATGTGTTAGCTCAGGGACTCAAAGTGTTTATTTGAAACTTAGTCTTTCTTTGTCCATCTCTTGGTTTTACCCTTCTTTGTATTGGCTTTCTTCTCAGCCAAGTTTCCTCCTTGCTTGGGCAGTGTCACACTTACTTCCAATCCTCTCAGCAACCCTAGAGAAAAAGGAGAGAATCTAGTCTTCCAACATTTCCAACAGAAGTCCCGAACTCATTGGTTCTAAATGACTTGGCTTTGGTCAAATCCCCATCCCTCAACCCTGAAGAAGACATGGTTGAAGAAAAGATGATTGTTTAAAGAAGACTTTTGTGTTATCCCACAAAGAGGAGAAGCAAATTCAAGGCAGGCAAAAGCAATAAATGTTCTATATTGCTTTCATGTATGCGGTGGACTTTCACGTGGGTAAGGGCATAAACTTCTGTGAAGCCCCAGAAATGAGAAATAGGCCGCTTGCATGAACCTTACAGGACAGCAGATTTCAGTTTACTCCCAAAAAGGATCTTTTCACAGAACCATTAGGAGTGGAAACTGGCTGCTTTAAGGTGTAACAAGTACCAGCTCCTTGCCTGTGTTAAAGCACAAACCAGATAGGCAGCTGTCAATAGTGTTGTATAAGACATTCCTACATTAGGCAGAGCTTTGCCTGCATGACCTGTAAAGTCTCTTTTGATGCTACAATTCTATTATCCTTGTTAATTTTCACAATTCAATTTGCAGTACAGGATAAACAAACCAACCAAATTTGATCTGAAACTTCTGCAGGCTATCACAGGTCATTTAATCTAAACCACATGGCTATAGCCATTACTGTGTTTTCTGAAGTCATCTAACAGACGTAGTCCTTAACAAGGTCTCCATGTTATTAGTTTCACTTATGGCTTTTTCCAGCCTCCTGCTTATTACCCAATTGCCTTTCATTCTCTTTTCGATTGGGATGGAGAGGAGCATGAAAGAGTGTTCTTTCTGCCTTTCTCCTCTTAAATCTTATAATACGTGGGTCCCAATTAAAATGGTATTGTTTATAGCTTTACCTCCAAATTTGGCTTTCACTTTGTAGGTTTAAGAATCTATGAGAAATGGGAGCATGGGCCCTGGATAACCACAGCCCTAAACAAAGCATATTGAGGCAAATTTTCAAAGAAGAAGAGTGACATTTTTTAATTCGGTGTTAAAAATTAATTTATAAAGTAAATTTAGTATACTGCAACATTATTAGAATTAGGGTACCCAACTACTTTAGTCATACTCATGAAGAAATAAACACATTTGCATTAAATAGGAAAGTGCTCCCTCCCACTCATAAACGTCCATACGGTTCTGCTTAAATTGGAAATGACATGTTACACAATCCAGCCTGCAAATAAAATTTTGTTTTTCCCAAAGTACATTCATCCTTAAAAACTGATTATGGTTTGTTTTTTTTTGTTTTTCAGTGAATGTTGTGTCAATGTTACAGGAATTTTGGGAAAGCAAGCAGCAGCAGAGGGCTGCATTCCCAAGTGAAGGCGTGGTGGTCTATGAGTCCTTGCCTTCTCCAGGACCGCCCTTTGTGAGTTATGTGACCCTCCCAGGGGGAAGCTGTTTTGGCAACTTTCAGGTAAGAAACAACCATAAATTGGTCAGTAAAAGTTAATTGGGTTAAAAGAGAGTAAGTCGTTCTATAAAATGGTAACATTATAAGCTTTCTTGGTCGTAGTGAAAAATAGGTTGTGTTGCATTCCATTATATATACAAAAATACTTGTCAGGTGTTCCAATTTTTTTTTTAATGTAAGTGATTTATATTAGGGTGGCCCCTGATATTTCTTTGCGGAAAATTAATTTTATAGCATTTTATTTGGCTGATAGCTGCTGCCTTTTCCCTCAAAATATTTTAGAATAAACCATAAAGAACAAGGAAACTCCTGCAAAGTCCTTCCATCAGTATCCTTCCATCAATTTTGTAATCAAATGCTAAGCAACCTACTAAACACCAAAGCATGAACCAACTGCAAAGGTTGAGACCCACAGGTCTGAGTTCAGGCACCTGGGCTAAGCCCAACTTCTGCCTTTGAATACCTTCATATTCTTGAGAAACTTATTTTAACTTCTTGATTTCACTGATTTTGAAATGGGGAATAATATCCATGGTGTTTGTTGGGAGTCATATCAGATATATATGCAATATATTTATATTAGAATACTAGGTATTCTAAGTATTCTTTTGGTAATTATTGTATTTGGGTTTTTTTTTTTTTTTTTATTTCTGAGAGAGAGAGAAAGAATGCACGCATGCGTAAGCAGGAGAGGGCTAGAGAGAGAGGGAGATACAGAATCTGAAACACGTTCCAGTCTCTGAGCTAGCTGTCAGCACAGAGCCCGACACGGAGCTCAAACCCACGAACCATGAGATCATGACCTGAGCCGAAGCCGGACGCTTAACTGACTGAGCCACCCAGGTGCCCCTAGTAATTATTATAAAGGCTCTTCTAGTTGGTTAAATCTTTATCTTCTTTATGATTAACATAAATGATGATGCAATTCTAGTTGTATACCAACTCACACAAAAACATTGCCTATAATAACCATCAACTTCTGATTGTCCAGTATATATGACAAATATTCACTGACTTGGAAATATCAAGCGTTGGGCCAAGTAATGAGGGAATAATCCATACCTTGAAGAAATCAGTGTGCAAAAAATTATAGTAATTAAATAGAGTTATATATGAGGATCAATGAAAGCATAAAGAAGAAACTTCTCAGTTTACCAGTCACCTTTGTAAGTACTCCTTTAGTGCAGTAACTATCTCTCAGTTTTCCATAACTGGTAAAAATCCTGTATTTATAGTTTATGGACTATATACTCAACAAGCATTCAAGTTTCCCTCTTAGGTTTGACAACTAGGAACCCCAGAGGCAAATTTACAGTGTACCTCTTTGTAGTGTGAGTCCACAAAACTTAATGTCATATAATTAAGGACTAACATCATACATGATTATTTATATTTCTACCTTTTCTGTGCCTTTGAAACTAGTATGCCTTACTCATTTATTTTATCCTGCTACTGTGTATCTATTATATATCATTTCAAATCTTTATGGAGTGACGGGAGAACATAGTTTAATAAATAGACCTACAAACCTATGTCTGATTAGAGTAAGTCAAAGGATTCACGGGAAATGTAATCACAAGCTGAGATATGCAATTGAAGGTGTCTTTGCCAGGCAATACAGGGGACATGACATTCCTAGCATAAGGAACAGTATATTAAAAGGCCTGGAGGAAGAGAAAAACGCAAGCACTTTCAGACTTTGGGAAGCCTAAGTGTGTCTGCGGCAGAGAAATGGTAGGAGATGTTGGAATAGTCACATAAAGGTTCTTCATACTTTGCAAAGGAGAACAGGTTTTATTCCAAATCAAATCAGAACCCCTGAGGATTTTGAGTAGGAGACTGATACATTCAAATGTGTTTCAGAAAGATTATTCTGGCAGTAGCGTGGGAGTAATTTTAAGGCTACTTAAAGAACTGTTTTCAAAACTTCTGGCCCAGCCAGCCACAGAGATCTTGCTTTCTCCTACCCTGAACATCGATCAGCAGTGGATCTCTGTTTGACTTCTGACTGATGACAGTGAGTTGCCTGATGAGGATGATTTGAAGGTAGGTCTAGAAGCCTCAAAACAGAGCTTAATATAACTATAGACATTTAGATAAGGATGAGGGGCAGGGGAAGGGGAAGAAAGGCAGCCACTGAGGAAGGGATTCTTTAATCTATGTGAACCTGCAGTCCCTCATCGAACATTCTAAGGTGAAATCTGCCTACTCATAGAGAGCTTCCATCAGACTTCTCATTCAGGGGAGACCTTCTAGGCAAACAGACCTACTCAGTAACAGAGCAAGGTCTTGCCAGCCACCTGAATGACTGTCTTTGTCTATGAATGTCAGTGGTCTAAAGTCCACCAAACATTTGAGGAAAACCAAAAACAAGAGAAAGGCCAAGTCAAACAAACATAAGGATATAAAGGATTCAAGCAACAGATGACATAAGAGAAGAAAATTGTGGAAGGATATTTATCCTTAAAATAGCTGTGAAACAAGGAGCAAGCAGGGAACAAGAAATTTAAAAATATGGTTACCAAATTAGAATAATAAAGATAAATAAATAAAAGAGGAGTAAATAGATGAGTGGACATAGGTTACAGCCAAATTAGTGAAGGATGACAAAATAAAAAAATTATTAGTAAAGTAAATGTTTTAGAACATAGAGCAAAAAGACAAAGAGATGGGAAAAAAATTAATACAGGAGACATGGGAATAAATCCTGGAGGTAAACATTAATCTGATAAGAGTTCTAGAAAGAAACAAAGGAAATAGTGGGGAAGAAATAAATAACAGAAGCAATTTTCTTTGAGTTAAAGAAATCACAAATTTTCATATTGAAAGGGCTTACCATATTCCATACAGGATCATGATGAAAGAATCACAGAGCTCCGTGGGACTTAGGGAAAATATTCTGCTTAAAAGATGGATCAAGGGCTTTTTTTTATACTAAATTTGTAATTGATCTCAATGGTTTGGGTTTTAGTTTTTGGTTTCATTTTAATATAGATTGAATTTCAATGTAAGACAGCTTCGGAGGAACTGATATAATAGGGCAAAAACCAGCAAACCTGGTCAACAAAACCAAACTATTCTTTTGAAAAGACAAATTAAAAAAAATCTTTGGCATTTCTGAGTAAGAAAAAAGACAAAGCATATACTACACTAAACATGATAAAAGGAACACAATCATAGGAGTATAATATAACAATACGACATAAGCAATTATATTGAAAAACAAGAAAACTCAGATGATATTAAAAGAAACTTAGGTGGGGGCACCTGGGTGGCCCAGTCGGTTGAGCGTTCGACTTCAGCTCAGATCATGATCTCATGATTCATGGGTTTGAGCCCCCACATCGGACTCTGTGTTGACACCTCAGAGGCTGGAGCCTGCTTCAGATTCTGTATCTCCCTCTCTCTCTGACCCTCTCCTGCTCACACTGTCTTCTCTCTCTCTCTCTCTCTCTCTCTCAGAAATAAATTAAAAAAAAACATTTAAAAAATTTTTTAAAGAAACTTAGGTGATATTGACTACTTTTTGGGAAGTCTCTGTATTATCTTTGAAATTCCTCTATAACTCTAAAATAATTGCAAAATTAAATTTTAAAAAAGGTTTTCAGTGGCTCCCTATTGCCTTTTTATTAAAGTCTAAATTCCTTAGACTGGAAGTAAAGGCTCAACAACTGGCCCCAACTTTCCCTTTCAACTTTATCTCCCTGAATTCCTCTCCTGACACTCAGCGCTTCAGCCTACCTGTTCTTAATTTATGCCTTGACCTCTTCTAGCTACTACGTATGTGCATAGTCTGTCTCTATAATAAAACGTAAATGCCTCAGGGACAGAGTCTGTATCCTTCTATCCCTATGACTCCAAGCACTGTGCTTTGCATATAATAAGTGCCTAATACATTTTGTTGAAGGAATAGCTAAATGAATGAATAACAAATCTCAAAAATCACTGAAGTTTAGGGGCACGTGGATGGCTCAGTCAGTTAAGCATTCAATTCTTGATTTCGGCTCAAGTCATGCTCTCAGGGTTAGTGAGTTCAAACCACACATTGGGCTCTGCATTGGTGTGGAGTCTGCTTGGATTCTCTCTCTCTCTCTCTCTCTCTCTCTCTCTCTCTCTCTCTGCCCCTCCCCTTCTCTCACTGTCTGTCTCAAAAATAAACTTTAAAAAAATCACTGAAGTTTATATTTGTCCATTATTGTATATGATCACTATTGATTGATGTATAAAATAGTGTGTATATATATTACGATATGCAATACAATATATCAGCTAAGGTATTTTACCTAACTGTAAGATGGTGAGCTGGCAAAGAAAAGGCAGGAACATTAAAATCAGGTAATATTATTACGTTCATATCTGTGGCTTAATTTAAAAATATTGATGTAAAAAAAACATCTAAGTCTCTCTGACTTTAATTTATGTCACTAACTTTCCTTCCACCCTATACCCCTGCCCACAAATAACCAAGATTTGGCCATCCTCTCACCCACGTGTTCATTTTGTTTGTTCTTATGTGGTAAGTGCATTCATTACAACCTATCTAGAATATAATGTAGATGACAAATCAGTGAATGGGTCTAGAGCACATTAGTTTAAGAAATTCAAATTTTCTTGTTTTTGTTTTTGCTTTCACTACATTGAGAATTATGAATTTCCCAACCATCTCATAAATTTCTACTCAAAATGATAGGGCTTCCCCTAGATAGTACACTCAACATCCTCCTTGTGATCTTTAAAAAATAGAATACAAAATGAAAAAATTGAACTCTTCAACAGTGAGGTCTCTTGGTGATTTCTGTAATCATTTCAGGGTCTCCTTTACCTTATGTTTAAATCATTATATTTTAAGGTTCTCAGGAGGATTGTTAACATCGTTGCTTTAAAGGATGCAGAATTTCCTGAATCAAATGTTTTGAAAATGTGTTTGGGTGATTGGCTGACAAATATGGCCCCTTAACCCATTTGGCCCTCCAAAATATGATTTGAGAAAGGAAAACTAGGAA